TAATTAAATTATCTCAAAATAAACCTTCATTTCGGTGCAATATCGAAATTAACTTGAATTCTTCATAACCTCTGACTAGTGGGTGACCCAACGGGTCACGGGTTGTCTAGTATAATATAAAATAAAAGGGGGGAGGTTGGTAGTTTTACATTGTAGAATTTTAAGGGGGGGGTAAATCTATGTGTGTGCGTGCGTGTCTGTGTAGGTGTGATCGTCATAGCTTCAAGAAGAAAGAACCTAGAAACCTGAAATTTTGCACACATAATAAGTGGACCCTGAGGGTTTGCAACTGGGTATTATTACTTATCCATGTGTGTGCTCGCATACACGTGAGCATCTTTTTATGAAGCAAGCTAGCGAAAAACCAGATAGAAAAGAAATGTGACCACCATAGCTCGAAGAAGAAAGAATCTAGAAACCTAAAATTTTGCAACCATACTAAGTGGACCCTGAGGGTGTGTACCTGGGTATTCTTACTTATCCACGTGAGAGGAATGGGAAGGGAGGAATAAGTTTGAATTTTACTTTTATTATAATGTTTTTGTGCGTCTATAATAATAAAAAGACGTGTCTGTGTGACCACCATAAGTCCAAGAGGAAAGAACCTAGAAACCTTAAATTATGCACATGTACTAAGTGGACCCTGACGACGTGCACCTGGGTATTATTACTTATCCGCGTGCGTGCAAGCGAAAAAACACGGAAAAGAATATGTGACCGCCATAGCTCCAAGAACAATGAACCTAAAATCCTGAAATTTTGCACCCATACTAAGTGGACCCTGAGGGTGTGCACTTAGGTATTATTCTTATCCGCGAGCGCATCTTTTTTAATGAAGCAAGCTAGGAAAAACACATAGAAAAGAAGTGTGATTGCCATAGCTCCAAGGGGAAGAACCTAGACATCTGATATTTTGCACCCATACTGATGTTGTGCACCTGGGTATTACTTATCTTATCCACGTGCGTGCGCATCTTTTTATGAGGCAAGCTAGCGAAAAACCACATAGAAAAGAATATGTGACTGCCATAGTTCTAAGAGCAAAGAACCTAGAAACCTCAAATGTTGCATCCATACTAAGTATCCCTGAGGGTGTTTACCTAGGTATTATTACTTATCCACGTGCGTGTGCACAGCATCTCTTCAATGAGGCAAGCTAGCGAAAAAACCACATAGAAAAGAAATGTGACCATCATAGCTACAAGAAGAAAGAACCAAGAAACCTGAAATTTTGCAACTATACTAAGTAGACCCTGAGGGTGTTTACCTGGGTATTATTGCTTATCTTATCCACGTTTTTTATTACAAATGTGTGTGATATAACAGAAAATACCGTAATTCAGAAACGAATTAAGTTTAAAACTGGATCAGTATTTTTACTTTCATGATAAATATTATGCACTTACTAAAGTATATCAACCTAATAACCCGTGCGAAGCCAGGTAACTTCGCTAGTATATATATATACACGAAAGTATAGAATTAAATAAACTCATATGCTTCAGTTCAGTATTTTTTAGTTTTCTTAAACATTTCAAATTTTGACGATTTTACCCTTTGATTCAGTATTGTTAGTGGATGAAAATGTATGATCTATAGTAAATAAACATGCTGTCTGAGCGTAGAACTGAGTATGTGACCTAGGGCAACTCCAGGGAGCCAATTGACTTGGTGAAGTGAATATTCAGTTTGTGGGCTGTAAATCATTTACTTATAGGTCATGAATATTATTAATTAATTAAACTTCAGAGCAGGTTATATCTGTGAAATATAGACACGTTTAAAAATTAAGAGAAATATAAAACCTGTCACAGTAAATTAAAATGAAACATTAGCAATTAATCAGCTCAATTTGAAATACTTTTATTCTTTTAATGTTTACTTTAACTGTCACTTCAACTTTAGGCAATGCTCTCTCCGAACTTTTAAGAAAATTAGGCCAGGACAAATTATGACATAGAATTGTAATACGTCATTGATCACGATACTCTTTCGCCGTTTTAAAATTTTCTAATAAAAGATGGCGACACAGACATCTTTAAAACTTGAGTTTTGCTAGTAAATAGATGAAAATGTTGCTTATTTGTTGTTAAGCATAAAACTACACAATGGACTGTCTGTGTTCTGCCCACGCAGGGATGAAAACCTGATTTTCAGCGTTATAAGGCCAGAGAGTTTCCATTGAGCCACCGAGGGGGAGGGGGGGTATTTAAATGGTTAATTACATGTGCACATGGGTGAGGAGTTTGGTCGGGTAGAGAAAATTTGTTTGAAATGAGATCGAGAAGGGGTTGCTCATATAGTAGTGATACCCAGTCATGCTCTTCTTACGTTTAAGGGGTTGCTCATATAGTAGTGATATCCAGTCATGCTATTCTTACGTTTAGGGGGTTGCTCATATAGTAGTGATACCCAGTCATGCTCTTCTTACGTTTAGGGGTTGCTTCATATAGTAGTAATACCCAGTCATGCTATTCTTACGTTTAAGGGGTTGCTTCTATAGCAGTGATATCCAGTCATGCTAAATTTACGTTTTCGTTATATAATTGAAGGTGAAAGTAGGTTACATTATCTGCTAATGGCAATAAGTATTTATTAACTTAGCTGATTCAGACTCTGATGTTTAATTTTAGGTGTAAAATGCTAAAACCTGGGAACTTTGTAATGTTTTTGCTCAAAACTACTACATAAGTTAAGGAACATGAAGGTGAATTTTGCACTGCCTCAGTTTCTGTAAGTTAAGCCTACTGATTTATAATGATTTATTTTATCCATATGTGTACTCTCCCAAACCTAGGTTCTTGTGAGTATTCACACGTGTCTCAATGTGGTTCTGAGAAACGTCTAAACAAATATATCAGCGTCCAGAAAGAAACGGGATTTTACACCATTTAGGCCAGTCAAACCAGAAACGCTTTTCAAGGTAGTCCTCGTTAAGTAGGCTTACCTTTTTCCACCATTTCGTCTAAGTAAGGAATATGTAGGTGTTTTTTTTGTTTTTTTTCGAACCCATGTGTATACAGCTGTTGTCTGAAAGTTCTTTAGAGAATCATCATCGTAAAATAGTTTTTAATTAATGTGTTTGGTCTCTTTATTAATAACTTCGTTACAGCATGTTCTTCAAAACCATACCTCTCACAGTTTTAATTTAATTTGGTTACCATGTTTTTCTATACTGAAAGCACAGCCTATCAACCACAAGAGGGTTTTTACAAAAAGGAACAGGATTTTCTTATCCATGAGTGGGTTATGAGTAAATTGTGGCCAGCGAATAAACATGTTACCATCTGATGCTACCTGTGAGTTGTTATGGTAAGTAACGTGTAGAACAAATATGAGCTATCATTAAACGATATACCATTAATACCTTTGAACTCCCAGCTAGCTTCGGTAGGGCGTGAAATGTAGTGAAGTTACAGGTGTGTGCAGTTGTTGGTGTATACAATATGAATATATTTTCTTGTTAAAAGTAAGTCTGTTCTATGAACAATTCCTTTATTATTCGTGTGAATATCGTAACATATTGTGTTAAAAGTAAAAGAAAACATTTTATGTAAATTCCTCTATAACTGATAATCTATATGCCTCACAGCTGTAGCTGTAGAATATGATTTAATTACAAATTTAAACAAAGAAAAACGCATTAAAAAGAGATTAGAAACTTCTGGAATATTCGGTATTTTAAACCATTACCGACACTGACAAATCTAATAAAATGTTTAAAGGTTTTTTGAAACACTTCTGTCCCACAAGAATTTAAAAATTATGTAACACGTTGTCGTTTAGATGTTGTACGTTTAATTCTCGATGAAATGACACGTCGTTTCCTCCTTCTTTTGGCATTTGTATTTGCTTGTTTTCCCTTTATAAATCTTTTCAAGGATACCGTGATGTGGAAAAACCACACATCGGGGGCTGTGGTACCTAAACGTTTTCCTATTGACATACTACACGTACTGAGGGCGGATCATGTAAGCAAGCTAGAAACTGAGTGTAGCCAGTGTGTGTGTTGGAACAGACCACATGTTCACTTGTCTGTTGCAAGAAGCAAGTTGGTGTTGCGACATCTCGTGCACACGTGTATGGTACCGAGTTTGGGCTGAGACAAATCAACGTTTGAAATAAGTGTAATAGTTCCTTAGTGTGTTTGGAATATGTACAGCAGATCGATCACCATTGTTATTTGACTGTCACAGAACGACGTTTATATTTCGATGCGTCACCGTTAGGTAAAGTTAGAAATTGACATGACAGGTTAATCGATGTATAATTAGGTAAATGACGTCTGAAGGTATAAACAATAAATGAACTAATTGCAAGAAACCGGACAACAACACTATAATTGTGGGGTTTCGCACAGAAATGTTGAGCTGGAGATAATCTGGAAACATAGCCAGTGTGAGAATCGTTCCTTGTTTAGATATCGCTCTTGTTTTGCTTATACTGTTGTGTGTGTGTGAGAGAGTGCGCAAAACGTTCAAAACCTTTTCTTGAAGATCTACGTCATTCGATATCGAGATCTTTAAGCGAAAAAGCTGAGACTGGAAGAAAGCACAGAGTAATTGTACAGTGAACTCCCCCGAAAAAAGTATTAAAAACGTACTTAACAGAGTAATTGTACAGTGAACCCCCCCCGTAAAAAAGTATTAAAAACGTATTTATACTAACGTGATTCAAAAATGTATATTTTCTAAGTAAATACACAAGAAGATTCCAAGATACTTCGCCAAGTAACATGATCTGATATTAATAAACGAGTTTAAACACCGATCTAAACTGAAAGGAAAACTTGTGTTGCAATATCTACACCTTGTGCTCCAAGTAACATCCGCCGTGAATGGCCCAGGACTGGTTAGCTGTATTTGACGAGTCTGACGTGAGTGGTCCAAGATTGGATTGCTGTAGACGACGAGTATACCGTGAGTGGTCTAGGATTAGTTAGACGAGATATAGATCTTGGCTGGTGCATTGATGTATTTCTGGTTGTTGTGTTTTTAAAGAAGAAAAAAACATTTTTTAAAAATATAATACCTAACTTGCAGATTTTAACTCTCCAAATCGCCTCAAGGTATTGATAAATTGCAAAGTTAACCAATAAAGTTGAATTTCTAAAGTGTTGTTAAAATTATCAATGTATTATTGCAAAAGAAACGTTTCCAAATAGCTTGGAGTGGAAATAGTTATATAAAGGTTACCACTATACTTATAATGACTAGAGCATATCAAGACGATATCATACTCTGTGACTTAAATGGGCAATCCTCTGGACAATTGCCTACAGTTGACCAGGAGTTTCCCGACTTGTCAGAAGATGATGATGACAGAAAATCCAAAAGATCTAATCTCTCAGGATCTATTTTATGTAGACGATCCTCATTTAAAGAGGATGTAACGATTAATTACAGCTGTTTCGATAGTGGACGTCTGTGTCGAAGTTACTCCTGTAGTCCATCCTACAGCGTCCGAAGTGGTCCACCTCACTCTAAAGATAAAAGAAGATTCTTTACCAAGGTCCACTTTAGTGATCAAGAATTTTCTAGAGTTGAAACCATTTATATTGACAACGACGGGCTTTTGGAATATTCTGTGTCTTCTTCAACGAACCAATTTTGCGACAAAATACCATTAAAAGACATTGGAGATCACAGAAATAACCCTGTTTTTCGAAAAACTAATACTGTAGCAGTTTCAACACCAAGAGGGGCCCAAACGCTTGCCAACAGAAGCTGTGTCAGAAAAAGCAGTTCATCATCATTCCATCGATCAACATGGCGTGATCACTTAGTCACTGATATGAACATGTATGGAAATTCTCTTGATGTTTGCTATAGACAGCAATGGGCAGTTGGCCCTAAAACCAGTCGATTTGAAAATAATGGTTACAATTTAAATTCCAGATCATGGTTCCGTGAGTTTCAGCCATCTTCTTCACCTTCATTCATTTCAGTGACCAGTGCTCCGTGTTATAGTGTTCGAAACTTAGCCTCCAATTCATTAAATCGATCTTTAGCTACAGATAGACATACAGAAGAACTGGAAGCAGGCGAATATTTACCTGGACGGAGGAGAAACGCAAGATCCTTGTCTCCAGAAAGATTTTTCAGGCGATTAAAAAACAGTTTTCGAAAAACTGGAGGCTCTCGTACACTCCGAACTCATGAATTTCGCGCAATATCCTTGCGTCACGTAGAAGAAAGTGACCAAAGCTGCATGAACACACGTGACAGGTAAAGTAAAGATAATTTATATTGTTCTTTAATAGTTGTTTAATATAGTGTGGGGTTGTCATGGAACAGTTTGTGGGGTTTATTGTGGTTATGGAACGTTCTGTGAGTGTTGGTGTGGCTATGGACCAGTCTGTGAGGTTGGTATGGTCATGGACCAGTCCATTAGAGTTGTTGTGGCTATTTACTGGTCTGTAAGGATTGGTGTGACATTTAATCGCCACTACTAATGCAACTATTACCCCAAAGTGCGGATTTCGATTGTTTTCTTGAGGCAACTGTACGCGAACCCATGGACACTTGGATCCATAGTCAGGCACGCTAACCGGTGGGCCACACCTGGCCCGAAATTGTCGTTTTGAATTAATTCTCTATTTCGCACATCATGATAACACAGTGGGAAAATTTCTTTTCTTTGAATTTGTTACTTAAATAGCAAGAACGGATAAGTTATTTACCCAGTTGTTCTTTGCATCAATGTGATACAAAAATATAACTGTTACCTAAGTTTTAAAGAGAACAAAGCCGGCGCTAGGGGGGTACTGGGGTAGGCCGTGCATTTCCAAATTTCACTGTAATCCACCCATATCACTGTATGTTGGCCCCCACAAAAGTTCCGCTGCCCCCCCCCCCACACACACACCCTTTAAGGTGAGGAACTGAAGTCTGGCTTGAAAGGGAAGGTACTTATTTGGCCGATTATGAGAAAGAAAACTGTTACTTAAATTCAGATGCCTAATTGCACACTGGAGACTATAAATGATTATTAAAATAGATACGACCACAAACTCCGGGTAGATAAAACTTTTAATATACCCGACGTTTCGACTAGCGTCTTTATCAAGGGTTAGGTATCTACAGTATATACCTAACCCTTGATAAAGACGTAAATCGAAACGTCAGGTATATTGAAAATTTTATTTATCCGAACTTCGTAGTCGTATTTATTTTAATAATGATTAAAAAACACTCACACAACAGACAGTAGAACACGTATTGTGACCTACATAAATGACATGTGGACATTTTTACACCGAAATTTACTTTTTTATCCTTTAATGACAAGAAAACAGAAGTGGGAGGTAATTTTTGTAAAGTTGTTAAACTTTATGTTACATGAAGGACTTTTCCATATGTAAAATGATAAAAACTGCAGTGTCACGATGAGGGGATATAATGATCACGTAATACCAGTTCAAGCCACCAGGGAAGTGACTTTCATCGACCTTAAATGAATATCAGGTTTTGTATACGAGAACAAAAAGTTTTGTACTAAACTCTTGCCTGACCTCAAAAGGACTTGCTTGAAGCTCCATCTATAGATATATATTTTTGAAACACTGAAGTTTCCGTAAATGGTTCTTAGTATTGTGTACAATGTGTTTTGAACTTTATACTTGCTTTTTCTTCTACTATTTCATAGTTGACGTGCCGGGTTCGAATCTGTGCAATACCATAGGTTGCTGCTGATTGGCTGCCTTTCCTCTGGTCAGTAGTTCAAAATTAGGGACGGCAACAGATAACCTTAGTAGCTTTGTCATTAATACAAAATTCGGGTAGAAATATTCCTCTCCTGGTAATTTTTTCGCAAGATATAAAATTAACATCCATGTTCTTAGATTTATTTGGAAACATTATATTATCGTTCTTTTGTTTTGTTTTTTCATACACTGGATTTCCAGTTTTCATAATTTTAGTGTGACACTAGAAGCATAATAAGTAGATGTCGATTGTGTTCAATATTTTTTTTCTCAGTAGTGTTGTTGGAACTTACTCACGTGCAGTGATAGACCCAACCATTCTTACCATGGTAATCAACACTTACCATGGTAATCAACATTTTGTACTGTAATAACAGAGGCTCATCTATTATTTTAGTGCTTATCTTCGTGATGGTATGTTTCTAATTCAAGTGTAAATAAATTTCAAGCCTCCCAGGGAACCTATAAAACCTATTAAAGCTTGCATTTTGAAAGCGTCCCACCAAACATGCTCGCCCTTTCAGCCGTGGGGGCGTTATAATGTTACAGTCAATCCCACTATTCGTTGGTAAAATAGTAGCCCAAGAGTTGGCGGTGGGTGGTGATGACTAGCTGTCTTCCCTCTAGTCTTACACTGCTAAATTAGGGAGGGCTAGCGCGATAGCCCTCGTGTAGCTTTGCGCGAAATTTAAAACAACCAACATTTTGAAAGTGTTTCTATGTTCTTTGTGAAACCTATGTATATTTTTTTACATCCAACCCGTGTACGTATTTTCATTTTTTTCATAAAAACATGTCTGAAACAGGACTTTGGAAAAAGGGAGAAAGTTATTGTAACGGTAAATAAAACCTATTAATTGGTAAGTATTCTTTGGAAAAACATAGGAAGCCTATTTTGATCCTAGTGATGCTGTGATTTTATGAATGATTCGGTTTGGATATTCTTTCTGCCAAAGAAATTTGGAATAAAAGAACCTATTCTATATCCTGACCAAAGAGCCTATAAAAAATTATATTTTCTTGCTACAGTCTATTTTATTACCGCCCCCTCCCTCAGTGGCTCAGCGGTATGTCTGTGGACTTACAATGCTAGGCCCCCCCAGTGGCTCAGCGGTATGTCTGTGGACTTACAATGCTAGAAACCGGGTTGCAATACCCGTGGTGAGAAGAGCACGGATAGCCCATTGTGCTTAACTTCAAACAAACAAACAAAACTATTTTATTACCACAATATTTTTTTCCTTAAAAATGGTCTGGAAGGTCAGATATATGTATTTGTTTCAAGCGTCAGGAAAAAACAAACAAATCGAGTTCTTCTCTGTAAAAAATCACTGGACCCGTGACTTTGTGACGTAGCATTCTAATTACCTTCGTAATTCCGATATGTGAAATAGACAAGGTAAAAGAGTACTTCGGATGAATAGTTTTGGTTTTCAAGGATCTTTATTTGAGATAATTGTGTTTATGCAAGACCTTGCAACACTGCGTACTTGTAAATTTCCTGTCAGGGCGGTATCTTTCTTTCTTCTTCTTTCATTAGTTCATTTTTGTCAGCACGTGATTTCCATTCGCTATTATGATACATAATAATACTTAATGAAAGGAAATCCGAATTATTACCGCTACAGTCATTGTTTTCCAAGATAATTTGAACTGCTAGTTAGCAGTGTAATTAGTTGTCTCTTAAGCAGCCTGACTAGTTGAAGAGTTATAAGTTGGAGTCTCGTGGTAATTAACAACCTCTTCCTTATCAAATTTCAGCGCATCTGATATCTTTCCATTCAACACCAGAGATACCAACACTTTCGACTTCAAGCTCTATACAAAGTATTCCGCAAACGATGTCTTTAAACATGAACCAAGGTTATACACAGGTGCTGTTATAACACTCTTTATATAATTCATCTACCTACTACTGTAAGCCACGAAACAACGTGACTGCCAACTCAGGGCTTTTGTTCTCTTAACATGTGATTCTACTTTTGTTCTGTTCTGTTTGTATTGAACAAAACTGTATTAAAAAAGTGTTTTCTATTTAATTAACAAACACACACACACACATATATATATATGTATATTCGCATGCGCCACCTACATTTCGCCTTCGTGATTTCTGTTGTAAAAGCTGTAGAGAAATTATTTTACTGAAGTAAGATGGACCTTTGACTCCTCATTACCACTGGACTGGACCCTATCGACTTTTCAGACCCAATTTTCTAAACCGAATTGCTCGTGGGTCCACGAATTTGTTGGTTCTTAAACACAAAGCTGCACAAAGGGATTTATCTATGTTTTGCCTACCTTGGGGATCGAACCCCGAGTTTTACAGCTTTAAGCTCCCAAGCGTATCGTTGAGAAACAGTGTGGCTGGGGAGGAGGGAATGACTTTGTTTATTATAGAGTCTCTGATAACATATTATTCGCATGAAATGACGTTAAGAAAATACAATCAATAATTAACCCAACTCTTTAATACAGGTGATTTTACTCTTTACACTTAGTGTTGAAGCAGACAAAAAGTTAAACATTAGTCAACATTATGTAATATGTTGACCTCGCCACTAATGAGCTGTATACTAACAGGTTGTTAATTTGAGAATCAATTCATTAAAGATGCTGCACTTGGTTTGTTTTTTAACGCTTTAAAAGTGATGTTGCGATATCTAATATATATAAAGCTAAGTTTGTGTCTGTTTGTTCGCACCTTTCAACCATCTGTTCCTTATACGTTTCCACATTTCTTGATCAATCAGCACCATACTTGACACAGTGATACAGGATGACCTGAAGGTCATGAGGGGGTTGTACCCCCATTAATTTCTAATCTAATTTCAGAAAAACTACCAAATCA